AAACATCACCTCTGATTCACAGAATATTACAATTTGTATTAAAAACCTCCAATTATGTTTTTAATTTTCTCCAAATTTGTTTATTTCATCTTAGAAGCTTCAATTTTAGATAGGTTGCCTTCAGCGGAGTATCCAAATGAATCGGCATACTAAAATCTAGGATTTTACTGTATTTTGTTATAATAAAACAGGTTGAACTGAAAGTTTTGTGAATCAGATTGAGAAACTGGTAATGCATTGAAGTAAGTCCTTACTTTCCTGTGTTACGATACATTTTGTAGTCATACTTTTGGAAAATTTCGGCTTGAAGTATTCCGTAACAAATATTCTCATATTTCTGGTTTAGTTGTTAGAGAACTTAACACAAGATTTCACCATCCTAATTACGTTTATTTCTCTGGAGAATAGAGCGTCATTTTATTGAGTTTGAGACCTACGTGGTGCATACGTTCTTGACTGCTGAACTGCATATCTTGACTTAGTCTACACGAACTCTCCACTAGTAAGTAGCTGACATGGCTGTTCAGTTCTAAGTATTCAGGACTGACTAGAATCCAGAGATCAAACGTGCAGTGTACTTTTAAGCTAGATTTCGCGACAGTGTGGTACACTATACTTTCTGTGTACAATGTCAGCAGTCAGTCGGCTAAAATTTCTGAACCTACATTTTGTGCTTATTGGCACTTATAAGAAAAAAGTATCGGCCACCTACAGGAACCTCTATTAGTCCTGAACAGTCAGGAATAGATGACTGAATCATGCACCCATTGCTTCTCAATTTACTAAGAAAATCCAAGTTTACAAGCAGTGACCTGAATAGCTTATAAGTAGTGCCTGTAAGGTTGTCAATGGTTGACGCAAGCTAGAATCATCATGGAAACGCTAATTCTTTTATGGTCAAACGTTTTTCCAGCAAGTGGGAACAATTAGGAAATGTGGATCTAGAACTTTCTCCAAATAGACTGCAAACAACTAACATACGAAGGACTTGGCATATTGTGAAACATTCTAGACAGTAAAAATGTTGAAGTAAATGGCATTCATATTTTTATTGCAGTATAGTACACTTCTTATCCTGTTGAGTTTGCTGCCTAAAAAGTGAAAACAAAGTTTACGCACTTATTTTTCTTGAGTAGTTTAATCTAGATTCAGGTGATGAGAATATCTCTCACAGATATCTCAGCATGAATTATTCATAAAACTTCAGTTAATTCGCTATCTTATAGAATATGAAATCAAATATGATGAAGGAGATAAAAGTAAGAACATTAAAAAAATGCCTAAGGCCATAGTTTCATCAAGCTCAGAACACAAGAAGATAAGTGTGTCACCTGTATCCTTTTAATCCACATGATAATTAGTTCTACCAGATGTGGCTTATGTTTGCTGAATGGTTTTCAACTGAATGAGGGTAGTGTACTGACTTTTTTTAACCGACATATAAATTGGTACATTCACTTAAATTGAATACTGTTTAATGTATGGAAAATACCTATAAGCACATTAGAGAAGACAAGTAGTTCAGCGATGTCATTTTTGGTGATTTTTATTCTTTACAGTTGTGCAATCGCGGCTTTTACGTTTCAGACCACGATATTTTAACAGATACATGTTTTCTGTTATTAAACAGAAAGTAACAAGAAAAGTGCTGGAAATTTTTGACGGCCTTTATACTGTGTTCACTTATCTTTCAGGTATACTTTTGAAAGCAGTTGGCATGCAGTGTGTATTTTTCTATTTCACTACCTATTATTACTTTCGTTCATAGTCACTACGTACATAAAAAAATATCGCTTTTCAGAAAATCATAATTGGGACATTGATTACACGACACGATCCACTGTTATAGTGGCAGTAATTGTGCATACATGTACACATGTACACATAATACATATAGATAGAGAAGTTTAGTTCTATATTTTATCAGAAACCGTCATGTGTTTACTAATGAAGTCATTAACTGTAGTTAACTGTCACCTCACTGCTAAAATGTCTAAAGGCTGGCAAAAGCAAAGGGACATAAAAAGTAAACCAAGAAAAACAGATAGAATGATGTGCCTGTTTTGCTAGTTTGTGCAAACTTACGTTCCCAAATACGCATCTCTTGTGACATAAATATTTTTACGCAACAAACCACGTCCAAAAAATTACAGTGATATTGTTTTCCTTATTACTTGTTCAGGTTGTGATCTATTTCGATTAAATACTACTTGTAGGGAAGAAAGCATGAATAATTTTGTGACACAATGTGATGGTCTGTTTGGGTTTCAAGTGTACTGTGACTAATCTACTTAAGAGAACCTTTGGTTGTAAAATGTTTTTTCTGATAGTTGTCTCACAGATTGCTGCCACCGTATTTCAGTAGTTCGCTGATTAGAGCAGTGGCTTATAATTAGATTTGCGTCAGATTTTGGTGCTAGTTGAGATACTAGAACACTGGTCATCAAAGCAATCGGAAACATGAAGTAGATTATGTAAGCATGTGAGCGTAACAAAGAGACTAACGATTCGGTCTTTCGGGATTATTAGTATTTCCATGACTGTACACGTCTTCTGTAATATGTTGTTTCCGAAAACTGCAAATTACGTATAATTTGATACTATGAATGAGATAAGTAGAGGAATAAAGACAAATTATTGAAGGTGCTGGTTATCTTAAGACTGCTTGCAAAATAAGTCATACTATAAAGCTTCAAGCTGTCACAATATAAAATTTGTAGGTGATTTTCAGATAAAATTGACCTTGTCACAATGAGAATATGAGAAATTGTAAGCCTAAATAAAATCTTTTTGACAGAAATCATTTCTTCATAAACCCTATGAAAATCAGAAGAATCTATAAAAACTTCTTGTTCTGAAGTATATCTGCAAGCGAATATAATGACAGATTTCGTGACAGGTAATTTTGAAATATACAGAATCGTAGTATGCCTCAAGTTTGACGTCAGGAAACTTGCTTTCTTGTGTATTTTGATTTTTATATATGAAAGACATTTGGGAGTAATCACACAAATGAGCTGGCATTATTCCATTTTCTGTGGTCAACAAGATAATCTCTCATCTTGATCTTCCAGTTACGATTAGTTTATCTTATACTTAGTGATGAACATTTTCTATTGATTATCTTCAATTCACAGAAACCTTTCGAAAGAAGTTATCTTGTGAAAGATACTACTACAGAACAACTTGACTAGTTAGAAACCACTAAGGTCAATCTGTAGTATTTTGCGACTAGAATAGATTTGTCTAAACACTAGACGGCCGTTTCACTCTTTTAAAGTCGTGCTCACAAACAGTTTTCTTGGACAAATTCAGAAATAAGGCTGAATTAGTTTAGATCACATGAATCTGGTTATCTGACTTGCATGGATCGGTATACCTAAAAAAGGATGATCAATTTGCAAGTGCAACTTCCAGATCATTTGTAAACTGATCTTTGTGTTTTAGAAGTTGCCTTATGTTAGACGGTAATGTTTCTCTGCAGTGAGAGGTTCCTGTCTGTTTTCCCTGCAAGACATATTCTCTGTCAAGCGTAACGTAGTGATTGTTGTTAAGTAGCAATGAATGGACCGCAGGAAACTGTGGAGGTAAATCGTGTCTTTTCTCAGCAGAAAACAAAACTCGGAACGGCAGAAGTGTTCACTACCCCAGCGAAATAAATTCGCTTCGGTCATTGGTTCAGTCACGAAAAAACTTACGTTATACTGAAATTGTGAATCTGAATAAGCTATGCTTTACTTTCAAGTAGTAATCGATGGAACCAACATCCAAGTTTTTTGACGTCTATATCTGGTCGCTGTTGGCATCAGTCTCAAATACCATAACTACCCGATCTAATTAAACACAGTTTTGCACTATTAGTTGATCGAACCCCCTCTACATGAATTATCAAAAGACTAATTTTCTAGTAAAAAGTTTCATATTTTCAACTGATGGTCTCTTGGAGATTGATATCAACGTCGGTATTATCACAGGTTGAAATCAGATGCAAAACCACTCAAAACATGGGAGCACTGGACAGCTGTCTCATTCTGGTGTAAAATCCATTAGCACTGTATAGTCGTGGCTTAGTGAAGAATCAAAATTGAAAAATTCACGTATCCTTGCTGACATTTTGTTATTCCTTCGCAGCGATTAGTTCTTCACGGAACGGGGAATACTCACTGTTGAGTAGTTCTAGGTTAAAAAGAAACGCTATGCAGTGTACTTTGTTATTCAACGGTTCTTCAAATCCTGCTAGTCAGTGAGGAGAACTATTTTCAGTAATCCTTGAAGACAATTTACAGTTTGTTGGTGTATTGTGACAGAATGGATATTGTAAATGATGTAAACTTACATTGTTGTGCGGATAGGCTTTATGAATACAAATATTATAATGATTTAGGTGCTGACTGAACCTTGGACGCTAACAATACGTGGAGAAGGTTTTGAATGAAAAGTAGTAGGTGTAAGCTTTCATACCTCATATTTTATCCTGATAGGAGTAACTGGCCATCGCCTTTTATATGCATATGTACATATAAAATTTTGTTTGCACTAAAGCTTCTTAGGCTTGAATATCAGAGTAGAAAAGTTGTTCTCGGTAGAATCTCAACTACATTAAGAGTGAATTCAATAAATTCGAATATTTTTTGTCTACCTAATATAACCAATTTAAAGGTGCAACTATATAACTTTGAAAAGAAACATTTTAAGATAACATTTGCAGAAACGTGTGACAAACAAGACGGTGTATCATTCGTGACGACAGTTCGACAAAACTCAAGTTTCCAGTTAAAGTGACTATTTTACGTATTCAAAGAATAAAAGTGTTAAAGAACTGCAGAAAAAGGATTAAATTATCTAGAAATAAGCCAATACCGAATACTGGTTGAATTTCATACGTTTGCATATTAAATTATCGGCTCAATTTTACAAAATATGATGCTGGAGAAGACTATATACAATATGGGTCTATCCTTTTAACCAAATAGATAACTAATACTACAATTTTTTCTTACCTGAACTGCTCTGTAGTTTATTCGTTGTAGAGAAGAGATCTTGTTTAAATCCAGCTGGTTCTGTTTTATTCATTTCATAAGTTTTACGTCTTAATTTTGGTGTGAAAAAATTTCTAAAAGATCTGATTGTTTGATTTTTATTTGACGCATTAGTTGAGTTCATGTTTGGAATTACTAAATTTGATTCGTGTGAAGGAATAGGCATTTGCGTTTTCGTTTCCAGATTACAGGGATTATTATTTGCGCTATAGAGCATATTCGTATGACTTTGTGTCGGACCAACTGGTTGCAAAACTGCAACACTTCTGAGGAGAGAATATCATAACACTTAATGAAATTTAGGAAAATTTGTATTGTATGAACACAAAAGTGAAATATGAGAATATACACTGAAAGGTTTATTATTACTTACTGTTATTAAAAACACATTCCTCATATGAAAACGACCCAGTAGCTTTCAAGCCCACTTGGTAAAGAGTATTGTTTGATTGTTGGTGTACCTCAGTCTTAATTGGACCTTAAGTGCAGTCAGTTTGAGAAAAAACAGAGATGGCGAAAAGACACAGTTTCCCTTGTCAGCTTCTGCTCCTCTTAATCGAACCATCTAGACAAAAAAACATAGGCTGTCAACGGTGATATAGTCGATAAGTGCACGTTTGTCTTTTACACTGTGTACTTCATCAACACTAATAAGGCAGGCAGCCGATACTACGGAGTCCCGCCATAAGCACATAGAATGCAAGCGTTTTAAAGTAGAAAGGGTTATTTCAAGTACCTTACTGAGATTTTGTATGCCATTATATAAGATATAAACACATATCAACAGCAAAACTTTTCAGAGTTCTGACCAAACTTGTCTGATTTCTAATCAAGGTTAGAATTTACACGTTGAAAGTAATCAGTCACTGCAGTGGTCACGGGTTTTGAATAAATGAATAAGATATAACACAGTGCGACAGCTATCCGTGAGTAACTGTTTGGTAGCTCAAAACGATGCAGATGGAACATTATTTCAACTGGTGACAACCAGTTTAAAGATTCAGGAATACACAGACACAAATCTGAAAGTGGTAACAAATAAAAGCGTTATTATGTTAAAAATAATAAGAACAATAAAATGACAACAGTCTGAAAGATTCTGTTTCCATTTTGTTAAGCAACCAGTTTTATTGCATACAAGAATATTTCATAGGTCACTTGGAGTCTTTGAAGTCAACATTATTCCTTGGTTCGCAAACAAGTTGTATGCTGATCGTGCTCCGCATCCGAAACAAATTACTGAAAAGTTATCAAAAACTTGATATCAGTGAACGCTGTATTTTTACCACAGGCATCAGGCTGTGTTGCAACATAAGCATTAGTCTTGCATAAATTTACGCTATGACTAATAATGACCTAGCCGTCTATCAGTGATACAAGCCTAACGCGCAAAAGCATCTGCTCTAACTGTTAACCAAAACCGCAACCACAACAACAACAATACCGCCGGCACACAAATCCAAGAAGAGAAGACAGACCACCAGCAGAAGACTTTTACTGTTTCAAAAACAGTTAAAAGAGTTGAAAGCGATGTTGAATATATGTAAAATCTAAATAACCTAGGCAAACACTAAATTCACTGAAAAGTTAAAAGAGTTAACAATCAGATTTCAGCCTTCAGAAGCAATGGGGAAAGCAAAAGCTAGCAATAGGTCCAAGAGGGGATGAAAACAGTGATAATAAATTTATTTTAAAGTTGTGGGAAAATATCAAAGAAAAGTTAGGCAAAACTAGGGGTATATAACAATCTAGTCTTTGCATTACTGATGTTATTTCTGTGAAATACTACTGGAATGCACGTCGTCTGACCTCTGTTGAACATTTGTTTTTATGCATAACTATTGTAGATTTGTTGAATGTGATGGAGATGCAGACTTATATTTCAGATACTAGTTTAAATGTACAAGTTACCGTACCCTGAATTGTCACTCTAAAATATTGCTACCAGAACAGAGATGACTTAAAAATACTGAATGTAATGCTCAATTATTGAACTTTGAAGTAAATGGTTTTAATGCAAGCAACCGTTACATAAAGATTTATTTTGAACGAATTCAAATGATTTTGGCAACTAACAACGTTATCAATTACCTTCTCATCATGTAGTCTTTCGAAATGTTCAAGACGAATAAATAAATGATAAAATATTCCATTTATTAGTATCCATATGAAGATATATGGTAGTTTTGTAGTGTTGATTCAGCTTTCTGAAAATAAATTTGAGTACTTCGGTTACGACTGTTTAGAACTGATAGATAATGAGAAAGGGAAATTGAATGTGTTGTAGGCGGTTAAAAAATCGAGGTATTCTGTTTTGTTGGTTGAAGGAAGGATCTTTAAACGAGCTGGAACGCTATGGCTACAACAATTTTGAAGTGGTAGGTATGAGGTTCGAGTCTCAGTAAGAACAATACCAATCACTAGGTTGCAGGTAAATGCAGCTGATCTATCCACAATAGGGCGAACCGTGAATCCTGGATCCCTCTACTAACCACCAACCAAGTAAATTGTTGTAAATATTCAGGCAGTATCGAGGCATCTGCATAGGAAACCCATATCCCAACAGAGATCGAACAATTCGACCCAGTACAAAAACAGAGAATTACAAGTATATCAGCGAATGGTAATTTTAATTATGCTAGTAGATGCTTCTATTTATTGCCATACTCATCACAGGCGAAATATTTCATAGAATTTCACATTTCAATCTACTGTATTACTGTGGCATTATATTTAACTTTCCTTTTAGTGAATTTGAAAATTCCAGGACTTTTTCTATTAAACGATCACAAATGTTGCTGCAGGGAGCGGTTTTCAAAAAATTAAAAATTCATAGTCAAACCGTTCGCTTGACGTATAGTTGAAGCTAAATGTTACGATAATTACGTCTTGAACTTAAAATGGTACGGCCAGAGAATATCAGAACAGAATCATTACACAAAAAGTAGTTAAAACCAAAGGTTTTATCACTCAAACATGCAAACCTTATCTATTCCACTCATTTAGTAGCATATAAAATTTTTATTTTGCTAAACTTGGCTAATAGTAGATTCCGAAATCGGCTTTATCATACTGTGTCAACCATTCAGTGAATGTCTAAAGTTAATAGACAACTATTTTATTACTTGTCTAGGGATCTAAAGATTGAGTGCAAGCCTGAAGAGTGTATTTTAGACCTGGAAAAAAGTTAATTTGGTAGTGATGCCAATGAAAGATAAGACGTGAATGAAATAAAAGAACGACTTTTTTCGTTTTTAGCGTTGCCAGGTGTTTCCGTAATCTTAATTTATTTTAACGTGGCTAAAACATATGAACGATATGTGACTATTATAACCATAAGTGGTTTTAAGTGGCTCATTGAAGACTGAAGTTTAATTTGATTACATATGACTCAAAGTTATGTGGGGTGAACAAATAGTTTCTCATAGATCCTGAAATGAAAAACAATGTTCCTTTCTATAATTTCTCTCATGTTGTTCATTTTCCTAAGTATCGGTAAAAACAAGTTTTGTTTATGCCCATAATCTGATTTATTATCAGTAGAGTTGTTGTAGTTGTTTGTATAAAAACCAACGCTGTTCATTCTTTATGCTTTCTTTCGCTCCATGAGCTAAGACGTGCTAACAAACGTATTGGAAAACTTATGAGAAATACCATTCCTTATTTCAGATATGCAGTAATCTATTCATTCCTGGTATTTTATAACATGGCATTATAAAACTACCATGTCATTTCATTTATGCTGTTGCTATATAAATTTGTGGAGTACTGGACTAAAGATACTACTTGCAGGTAACTTAATAGTTTGATATTTTGGTGTATATTATTTTTTCACCATAATATTCATTTTTGTTGTTGTTTCGACTACATTTGTCATAACACACAACCTGTTTTAGGTGGATATTAACTGGTATTGTATAACCCTTGAATCTTCCTAAAATCGATAGATTTTAACATTAATACAGTATAAAGGACCACTACAGTTACAATGACAGCTAAAAAGTATACCTAAAGTCAAAAAAGAAAAACGCCTTGCCATTCAGTTAGTCATCGTTATGTTCTTATTCTGACAAATGAGGTGAAACTGAAACTGCATTGTCTTTTAACAGGTATGACGCACAATTCACTAACTAACATTTCCACCAAATGAGAAAGAATACTTTGGTTAATCCAGATTTATGTTAATAAGCAAAGATTTTCATTTTCGTGTAAATTATCATTCCCATGACTGTTTTCTATACGTTTCTTTACTTTGAAAAAATAAAGTAATTGTTCTGTCAGCTACGAAGATTATGACTAGGTGAAATAAATGTTGCATTATTCCATTTAAAACTTCTTTTTGTTGGAAAACTCAGTAAGTTTAAATTTTTAATTCTGAAGCAATCAACAACAGTAACTTGTATTTTGTTTACCTCTGCTGTAACCGGAGTTTCTATTAGAAATCATCCAAACGAAATCACAAAGACTTGCCGAATTATTTATATGAAAATTAACTAAAAGGGTCATTGAGGTCAATAGGAAATGCAGGAATAGGAAAGGCAGAGAAAATCAAAACCAAAATCACCTCACCGTTGGTATAAAAATTAAAATCAATACTACCAGGGTTACTTCAACGTGAGTGTAAGTTGTTTTTGTATACATAAAGGAGGTATGAGTTAACGGATGGTGTGAGCTCCAATGAACTTAAGGATTCCACTGTGATCACTTTTATGTATTACTTTGACGAGGTTTAGTTAGTTGCTTATTCAGCAGGATAAACTGTCTTCAGCGATGACACGAAGAGGGAAGAAACCAATTTAGTGATGACAACAATGATACAGAATGGCTACTCTTTGAAATTTATTAACAGGTGAAAAACTTATGTTGGATTGAAAATTATGCGGCGTTCTTTTCCTAAGACAAATGTCTGTATCTCATTACCATTTAGAGGTAATTCACACAGCTTTATTGTGAGAAAAAGGCTTAGACTAGCCATCTGTAAAATATATTGGCAGATAAGGTCATCACTGTAGAGAAGACAAAGTTCATGTTACAACACAAACCAAAACAATGCATGAACGATTATATCACATCACACCATGTTCATCAATTTACATGTATGTATGGACACAAGCATTAGGGAGGGGCACTCGTAATGTGCAGTTAAGGATGGTTGAATATGCATTAAAGTGGTTTCAGAGACAACTGACCTCAATAGACTCGATAAATACAGGTGATAAACGTTCATCTTGATCTGTTGCTAAATGCATACTAAAAACTAGTCACAGGGTAGACATGAAAACAGCTTTCAAAGTGCTACGTAAAAGCGGTTAGGGTCACCCGTAAATTCAAAATCCCTTTATATATACAAAACAATTTGTACTTACGTTGGAATTACCCTAGTAATATTGATTTCAATTTTCATGCCAAGAGTGATGAGATGACAATGTATTGATATACATGAAATTCTACGTTGTTTCATTGAATAGAGATGTTCGACCTATATGATTTGTAGTTTTTCCTCTGACATTCCTGTTCCTGTTCACTAGTTACTAGCCGGTCCTAAACACTCATAAAAAGGGAAGGTTGGGCATGGGACCAGCAACCCTAACCCGGAAAACCAATCCAATCTCTAAAGAAACTCAAAACCACAAAGAAAATATAAAAATGTTCCTCAATGGAATCGATGAGGCGAAGTGACCCCAGTTGCTGAAAGCCTTCAGCAAGTCAATTGATCGATGTGTCTTCTCTTCTCTCGATGAAACCGAAAGCAGGAATGGGGAAACGGAATGTTCACACAATCTTTGAAACTGGTTGGCAAGGCTGTCCAGATTGCAAAAGGGATGAGCAGGTATGGCATAGAAGTGATGAGAATCTGCGAAACCAGATGGAGTGGAAGTAGACTCTCCAAACTCTCAACTAAAGAGTCAGTAATCTACTCCGACATTGTCACACAGACAACAACCACAAGCACAGCACACTGAGTTTTCCAGTGGTTATCATGATGTCCCCAACAGCATAGAAGGCTCTCTTCATGCAGTGGGAACAAATCTCCTCCTCCAACATCTGGATCATGACAGCAAGATGGATTCAACTCGAAAGGAAGGAAAGTCACAATCATACAATGCTACACTACACACCTACAAGTAAAGCAGATGAAGAGAAGCAGGAGAAATTCTACAGACAACTGCAATCAGCACTGGACAAGACCCCACTCCAGTTGGCGACATCAAAATTCTAATGGGTGTGGTGACATGAATGTCAGACTGGGAGAGGACAACACAGGAAGAGAACCGATCATGCGTCGAGAAGCACTTGGTGAAATGATGAATGAGAATGGAGAACTGATTGCAGATGTTTGCACATTTCATGATTAGGTGATTGGAGGTGAGGCAGTGTGTACAAACACAAGTATATTTACAGAGCGACATCGATTTGATTTCACCAGACACCACACTAGGACACACTATACCAAAAATCACATCGACTCCATCTCAATGTGAAGGAAGTGGAGATGGAGACGCAGCCTACTAGACATAAGATCAGATGAGGAAGGTGAGCAGATGTAGGTTAACACCACTCACACCACTGTCAAGTAAAAGGAACCTGCCTTCAAAATCAAGTTGGCAACCAAAACCAAAGAGGTTGGTGATGATGGACCACACACAGTTGGAGTTCAACACGCAGAACAGAAAGTGAAGTGAAGGACGAGACTACAAAGAACATCTTCACGTCAGCCAGTCATGAGGACAAAGTGGGAGACATTGAGCAACATCGGTGAAGGAAGCTGAGTGGAAGAACAGGTGAATTGTTTGAAAGAGATGTGGAAGGGAACCTGCATAACCGTGTTGGGAAGGAAGAAGAAGCGAGACAAGACAGGGAATGGGTGTCGACGTACACATGGAAGCTGATAGAGGGGGAAGAGGAAGAGGAAGATGATGGTGGTGGTGGTGGTGGTGGTGATGGTGATGATGGAGCAGAAGATGAACCAGTGGAGTGGAGTGCAGTGCAGTGCATTGTAGGGATGAAGAAGGAGAAGAGGAAGTGAGTGCAAAGTATGAAACAATACACTGGACAAAGAAGTGTAGAAGAGTGCGTCCAACGACAAAAGACTTTTCTGCAACACATTGGTAAGTGAAGCAGAACAGGCTGCTGGTAGGAGAGACAGAGACCCAACAACATGGTATGAAATAACCAGGTTACCATCTGGAAGGGAAGAGATCAACTCAGATGAATGCAATGAAAGATAGTGAAGGGAAGCTGGGTGTAAAGTGGAGAAACAAAGGAAACGATGGACTGACCACTTCAAAAAACTCCTCAATCGACCAGCTCCACCACCACCACCATCACTATATGCAAATCGTTCAAAAATACCAACAGCAGCCCATCCACAGAACTGCCAGAGAACACATGCCCTCCGACAAGAGCAATAGTGAAGTGCTGAGAGCCGGGAACGCAGCACAACAGGATGGTGTTCCACCAGAAGCACTGAAAACAGACTCAGAGAGAACAGTGGACATGCTCACACCACTGTTGCAGAAGGTTTGGAGGGAAAGAAAGAAAGGTACCTGTCGACTGATCTGAAGAGGGCTACCTTGTCAAACTCCAAAAGAAAGGTGATCTAAGCCATTGCAAGTGCTGGTGAGGAATCATGCTTCTTCCCCAGTCCACCTCAAGCTAAATATTAAGCCGCATCACCCTGGAGAGAGTAAACAGAAAAAATGCTCTGTATTCTGAATTACAACCGGAGCAGGCTGGTTGGCTGCCTTCAGGAAGAACAAATCATATGCGGATCAAATTGCAAAGCTGCACTGTGCATCATCATAGAACATAGTGTAGAATGTCAGTCAACTCTCTACCTACCTCAACTTCAGCGATTTGAAAAAGGCCTTCAACAGCGTCGACCGAGAACTAATTTTACAACTGCTTCAACACTACAGTTTCAGTGCCACAAACCTTATCAACCTCAGTCAACATGCCAAGTGATTCACAATGGAAAGCTGAGTGACGCCTTTGATGTTTGGACAGGAGTAAGACAAGGCTGCCACCTACTGTCGCGGATGATCTTGCTGATTGTGGTCGACTGAACTTGGCTGTATCATGCAACAAACAACTGTGAGGAGCTGTGAGGGGATGGGGATTCGCTGGCTGGACCGATGCAAAGACCACAGAATATCTGGATTTCACCGCCGATGATGATGACTTATGTGTGGTGTCTTGTAGCAGCAGAAGCTCGAAGATCTACAGCCAGAAACTGAGAATTAGGCAGAGAGGTGAGGCAGCGAAGGAAGACGGGACTTCAAGTGGATGTGGAGAAGACAGAGGTGATGAAGGTACCCAACCAACAACAGCATCGCCAACAAGCACCAATCACGATGAACGGGAGAGACCTAAAGGAAGTTCTCTCCCTTACCTAGCTAGGTAGTATCGTTTCAACTACAGACGGCCACGGCACAGATGATGACGTCAAATCCAGGATTGCAGAGACAGCAGGACAGGCCTTCTCGCAATAATCTGAAACACTCAGTGAGAAGATCTACTGCATTGCATTGCACTGCACTGCACTGCACTCAGCATGAGGCGTGAACAAGATCCGGATTTTCTACACTAATTCAGTCAAGTCAGTCAGTGCTTCTGTGTGATGGATGAGAGACTTGGCGCGTTGCGGAAAACATTTCCCACGATCTACAGACATCATCAACAGCTGCCGCCTACGCTCACTCGATACTGACACTGAAGATCAGATGAATTGCCATAATAATAAGAATAAGCAACAAGTAATTCACTCTGGCTAGCCAACGAACCAACCAAGAATCCATCACCCAACAAATATGCAGAAGGAAGTGGAGATGGATTGGGCATACACTGAGGACCATTTGGCGACATCACTCACCAGACCATCGGTGGAATCCAAGGGGGAGACGATGAGTTGGGCATCCTAGGTTGACGACATTGAGGAGATCATGTGAGAAGGAAATGAAAGCTGGTGTGCAGTGGTGGAGTGATGTTGAAAAGACTGCAGAGATGCCAGGAAGTGGCCGCGTGCCAAAGAATCCCTATCTTACGCTAGGAACCCAAATGACAATAATAAATATTAATAAATTGAGTTGATAGGATTATTTTGTAAATTTTCATCTTAACAGCTCGACATGTTCATGTTGTGGTTAGATTGTTCGATATGTGTAACGCTAATACACCACATGCTTTCGACAATGTTCATCTTCTCATTACGCTATTTAGATGTTTTGAAATGGATCCGCTGTTCTAAAATGACAAAGGTTGATCTTTTCCACCGGTGTCACACACTAACGGAAAGACTACTGAACGACAAGATTGGTTGGAAACCGTATAAACTTATTAGTTAGTCTGAACAGCTCAATGATTTTAATATATCTGGGTCCAAAACTGGAGATCTTCTTTGAGAACTAGCGAAAAGACAGCCTGGTGTTTTAGATCGCCCCTTTTTGACTACCAAAACCTGCTGATCATTTGGGTGGTTTCTATCCACTCATTCACTTCATTGATGTATTTCAAAAATTGTCACTTCTAATGTGCCAAAGTTTCGTATCAGACAGGAGCCAGGAGATTGCTAATTCATATCCTGTCACAAACGCAGATGTATTTCAATCGCAGTTACTAACCCTTTTAAATACGTCAGTTAAAAGCTTTTGAAACAAAAGCGTTCTAAATTTACTCTCTGTTTGTTTGACATGGAAAAGATATTAATGTATTTCATGCACAGTCTGCAGGAAATCAGTGTTTAGTAGCTGTAGCATTGGCTAATACTAAAGGTATTGGTAAAATGATGCACCATACTGATATGTAACCTAGACCACTAATTCTCTTGATCTTGTTTCATTTCCATGTATTCACCTATCTTTTCTGGAAGGTTTTTGTCTGTCGCAACATTGCAAAGTATAAATGGTAGAAAAACACAACAAATACTAGTAATTGTTTAGGTTGAGATTTACTATTGTCATCATGATAATTAGATTGGCTGTGTCTACCTGAGGAATCCAAGACACTCATTCCTTCTTGCTGTGAACTTGTCAGCTGTGTGTACCTACACTTCAGTGAATGGTGTTATCCCCACTGAGACTCGAACCTCGTACCCATCGCTTCAAACACCAAAGAGTTATCCATTAGGCCATTTTCATTAATCATACAGTCTCATGTGTCTTATGAATCCTGTGATACTAAATAGTAAATCAGTGAAGAGTGATAAATGTAAGGTTGACATAGTGAATTCATTGCATATTCAATATCATCACTCACTCTGAATTTACTCTTTGTCTTGTTGATGGAAGATTGAGGGAAGGTGCTTTTAGCCATGTCTGTTGGTGTTGATGATTGACTGGAGACGAACTATTCAGTCTACTGTTGATGTTCTGATGTAGATAATTATTTGGTGCTGCACTGGGATTAATAACCACTTTTGATGGGATAGCATGACTCGGCTGTTGATAATTCTGATAAAGTGAAAAAAAAGGAAAATAAGATCGCATTCACCTTTTAGATTTGGTAAAAAAAACACCAGTAGAAGAATATTGATGAGACAAGAATATTCAAAATCCGTATAATTTTACCGTTATCTGAATATATATTGTTTCATGTTACAGTAGATTTCAAAGAGATCTAAAATTATTCAACTTACATATTTTTATCTCATGAAATGAAATGGTTTACCGCTGATTTATTTTGTATTGAACTAGATGGTGGTACAGCATAGTTTGTTGTTTGATGTACAGAGAAATATCAAACTTGGATATTATAAAGTGTACTAGTTTTTGATTTTGATTGTTGTACTCCCTTCTACTTTTCTATCTGACGATTGGCAGAATTTCCTAAATATACTGGACACTTACCAAAATAGAAACAGATTAGAACTGTCAATGGGCTAGTCAGTAAGTAATATTGGCTTGCTGTATCTTATATTCGAAAAACTACTTAATATGGAATTATAATCCACTTAAGTGTCCACGTTCAACGTTAATATTGTTGAAATAGAATAGGTTTAAGTGTATTCGAAAGTTTGTGAGAAGTAAGCAATGCAAACATAAATTATGAAGGTAAACATATCTTTCGAGGAGTTTCAGTAGATGAGATAAACAGGGTAATTGCAATGATGTTGATCACTACAAATTGTCCGATCCAGAAGAACTTGGAAGTGATTTGAATTAATGATGAAGATTAACTTGAACTTAAAGAACTGACTTCCTGGCAAGATTGAACTCCAACATGCACTACCATTTTACAGCTTTCTGAACTCAGTGCCTTTAAAAATAGAAGATTTCTCGTCACACATTATTACTTCAGACCAAATTTTATTTTCACATGCTCAGTGATTAGCTCTGAATATACATTGATGAAAGATGAGAAGAATGTCTTCAGAAGTTTCCACTTCAAGCATTTTCAGCCCGGTGTACATTTATACCAAAAACCAGTCTATAAAGGAAGGGATACTGGTGTTTTGAAAACATTATCTTCATCGTATTTGACAGCATTAAAGAAGTGGTTAGACAAAATGAAGCAGAGATATGGAGCTAGTTTTACAAGACTTTTGTCAAGTTTATATGTTTGACTGGTAATTATGTGATAAGTAAGTAAGTGAATGTCACACTCCAACCTGCAGGTACAGATTGGATCATTTACACGAATTGTTAACTATCCAAAGTTTATTTAGAAAGTCAATTACTTCTAGGCACTTAAAAGTGAAAATGAGTGGGAAAACATTGACTTGTCTAACCATAGCTATTTCATCTCTTGCAAGTTGCTTTGGTACACTTCTTCTTACAGTCCCTATTTTCTCAATGTTTATGAAGTTAGAAAAGTCTGTCTGGAGAAATTCCGACAGACAAACATTTAAGTCTCTTATCTACTATTATCAAACCGTAATACTTAAGCAGTCTGGTGTCAGCAACAACATAAATATTTCGGTGTTTTTGTTTAAGATAGAAAAAGGTTTATGTGCCTTGGAAGTTATAAGATCAAAATGTTCTTAATAAAAATAAATGAGAGCAAACAGATAGCAGTTAAAAGTTTACCTGATAGTTCATCAGAAGTGCAGACTATGAATTCCTTATTCTACTTCGGTCATTAAAATACCTCAAGTCGTCTAATTAATATTTGAATATTTTTTTAAACGTTGACTGGATAAGTTTCAAACTTTATGTACTTTTACCACTTATGAAATCATTATCTGATACTCAAGTACATCCTAAAAGAGTTTAGAAAGCGCCAAGCGCTTTCTGTTCCCTGAGTATCAGGTTTTGTGACTACCTGCTTCTTGATATGGCTACTTTGTACTAGGTAGCTGACAATGTATGACAGGTGATGGTTTTGATCATCTGCTGGGTTCTGTGTTTTCTTTTAATCAGTATTTTAATATTAGCATGAGCTCTTTCCCTTTCAAGAGATGTTAAATAACCGTAATATCATGTAGCTTATGTTTGATAACAGTCATTTCTGATGTACATCTTTGGTACTTATCTGAGCAATGTCGCACCCTTTAGTAAGTCTCAAATTATAGAATGAATTAGTCGGAAATACTTTCATAAACTATTTATGTAGGCAGAGATTGGAAGCCTTAGTCTACTGTTCAATGATAAACAGTAACATACACTAGTCATAAATGCTGAGAAACGTTTTCACTCAAAACACGTACAGCAGCTGTTGAGTAAACTGGTGTGCATTCATAAACTTGATTATTTATACCTTATGGTTACCTGCATAAATACACTCTAAAGTTTGGAGATACGTTATTGAAGTTTATAGTTCTTCACAGTCTCTGTAAATGTTAAGATGCTCAGTTTCTTCCGCATAGTTTCGAAACGAAACCGGAAATCTCGATAGCGTAATTAGAAGACGAGGTTTATCTGAACAATGTGATGTATTTGCGCAACATATTTCGAACAATCTGATCATATATTTACCCGTCAAGTTAATATATATTAAACCGAGAACTGGGAGTACAAATACAACAGTTAACACAATAAGGGATTAAAAGTAAGGAAGATGAGAACGAACAGGAAGTGACATAGTTGATCCTAACCCTGACAAGAAAAAAAGTTCACCAAGGTAGGTGTAGTGTAAGGACAAATTGTTTTTGTACACATAAAGGTGGTTTATATTTGTGTATGGCTATAGCTTCCTCAAATCTCAGAATACGTCCCTGCCTGTTTCTATATAAAACTTTGAAAGCTGTTTGAACATTAACTTTCTGACCTGTTTCTACGATAAGTTTAGCTTTAGATGAAGAGGGTCGTCTCCCACCAGCGTTTATCACTGTTTCACACTCCATTTGTTTTTGAAGCCACTTTGGCACACATTCTCCCACCCTCAACTGCATGACTCGATTACTCCCCCCTATACATGTGTGACCATACACCCATGTAAACTGATAAACATAATGGGGTGTGACGTAATCATTGATGCAGTGTTTAGGTTTTTGGTGAAGCATGTGCTTTGTTTTCTCCACAATGATAAGATTCGCCGCGTAATATATTTCCTTAATGTTTGATGTCAGCCTAAGTCTCAAAATGATACTGTATAAATCTCTTTTGCATAGTGGAGTGATATGGATACTCTTCTTAAGGACCTTGTATAGAGTTGGCTTTGGTGCTACTTGACCTCTACAACGGTTTATAAACTTCATCGGATATCCATTTTCTCTAAATGCTTTGGTCAGTAATTTGATGTCTTCATCCATCGCGTCTGGTAAACTGGTAAACAGGCATTTCACTAAACCTCGCTTGTATTAGATTGGACAAAAACTGTGAAAATTCAGGTATTATCCTGTCCATGTAGGCTTTCTGTAAACTGCCCGCCTTATTGAACCATCTTCTCGTCGACTGAGAAGTATATCTAGGAATGGCAGTTGATTATTATTCTCTTTCTCACAAGTCAGGGTGATGTGAGTTTGTACGGCGTTAAGTCTATTTAGTAGACAAGCCATATCTTTATGACTCTCACAAATCACTATGATGTCATCAACATATCTCTTGTGAAAAGAAACTTTAGCGATGAGATCACCAGCCAGGTTTTCAATATATGACATATAAATATCAGCTAGTAGTGGTCCTAAGTGACTACCCATAGCTACATCGCCAACCATGTCGAAAGCGTTCACCTTCAAATGTGAAGTGGACTTTGTCAGTACACAGTGATAATAGCTCCTTCAGAAAGGTTGAAGTAATAAGGAATGGTAGGTTTTTAGAGAATGCTAATATTCTTGGTCAGTGTCACGTTGTTCAGATAAACTTCGTCTTCTAATTACGCTGTAGAAGCCAGAAATCATCGAATATATTCAAGGAAACTTAGATGTAGTCAGAAGTTCTTGGATAATAGCACTGATAGACGTGTAAGTACCTGATAACATACATCAGTGAAATGAATGGTCCTAGTGGAGTTTGAAGTCGTCATACTTAGAGAAAGTTGACTTGACGGGAAGCTTTCTGCTGTTTTAACATTTCTTTCTTTTCTTGAAAAATCGAACAGTCGTCAAGGATGGAGTCGGAGGGTTATTGTTCACCAGTTAATAAGTTTATTCAATGTTTACTCCTTGGTTGTATTGTGTTCTCTGAGCTGGGTTATTTAATCGTGAAGCTATCATCGTCTTTCTAGAAGACATCATCAGCACTAACTTCAGTATGAAGTGAGCTGTCAGTATCTACCCATGAGTGGTTTGGTAGCTTGCCCTGGTCAACTGTCTTGTAATTGACTGTTTCCTTTTTTTTGTGTCACTGATTGCATAGATGTTCCTGTTGGCTGTCCCTCTTTTTGACCTCTGACCTTTCTGTGGTTTATCATTTTTCTCATTAGTTGATAGATTGGGCTATATGTCTATACATCTGCTGATTGCTTACTGACCTGAATGGCAAGCTTCTAGGAATTCTCTAGTATTTTTTGTGTTTCCTCTGTCCAAAATTTTTACATTGTCGAAAATGAATTCATGTCCACAACTATCCACGTGCATTGAAATGAGTAATGAAATGTCGTGACGTTTAACAGTCAACTGGTGTTCATGTAGACGAAGACGAAAGGGTGACCACTTTATCCAATTTGGTGTTGGCTACAATTGTTGTTTATATTTTATCACTATTATGATCAATATCAGAAGCAGTTGGAATGTCAAATGAAATTATGCATTAACATTGGGAGGTTTTGTTATTTTTAACTCATAGCTTTCTATGAATATATGGCATCGTTATCTCTACATAATCATGAACTTTAGTAGTTATAAATAAGTGATTACTTTAGACTCCCTACAGAGTTCAGATAAATAAACTAAAAGATCTAACTGAAATGTGTTGTATAATTGAAACGTTTCAAAAGTTTTCTGAGTTTTGTTGATGTGCTACACATGGATGTGCATACATACATACATATGGATACGGATTATACCATTGTTTATGTTTTTGAAAAAAACAGTTGAATGACTGTGAGATTCTGGCATATTTACATCTCTGTTGATCAAAAAAAATTAAGTTTAGATCGTCAAAAGAGTTTCAGAAATTTAAAGAAGTAAGAGTGGAGTCTTTTTTATTTCATTCTTAATTGGATTACACAAAATGTCATTTATGAATAAGATATGTGATTTATTTGGTTGATTCAAAATGATTTACGAAATAACATATTGGTAAAAGAAGCGGAAAAGATCAAAATATCCTTTTTGCTTGGTTGAAAAGCGGAGTTATACTCTTATTTAGTCGGTAACGATGAGATGTTATAATATGATTTGCAAAAGTTTATTCAATTTGCAAAATTTTAAACTTTAGTAGTCAACCATCTGAAAGTTGGGACTTTTGTTTCTTGTTTTTTGGCAGTCATCAGTAAGGTGAATGTGCAACGATGAGGAAAATAGTGATCTTTTGGTGACTCGTTACTGAAGTCAGAATTTTTCTCACTCATTTATTCATATCATAACTAACTCTGTATGACTATGTTAAGTAACAAACCAGTCATACGTCGATAACCAGGTTAGCTGGTTTATCTTTAGTACTCAATAACGTCTGATATTTAGCCACCAGTTTTGCATTATGGCCACTAAGCTAAGTGACGGTGTACTGTTGGGCTTCGTACTTTAGTGTAGTTTATTTCGATTAATATGATGTGCACAATATGTTTCGGATAATGTGATCATGTTTTCGCCTTTCAAGGCAGCCTATATGAAGAGTAAAAATGGTGATAGTTTCAGGATAGCCAAAGTGTTTTGATGGATTTACTTGTTAAAGTATAATGGAAGAGAAAACTTCGTTTTTATACTGCATATGATATAAGGATTACATAAAGATTACCAAGTTTTCTTTAGACTAAACAGCATAGTTTTTATTTATTAAAAATTACAATTTCCCATTATTATATCAGATGAAATTGGTTGTCCTCTGTTGATATGTGCTTCCATACAGATTTCTTACTAGTGCTTGAACATTCATCATTACAATTTGTTTCATGTTGCTGGCAGTGAAGTCCAGAACGGGTGTTTTGTCCCATCTTAAACCCATCAGCTGGATGCAACCATATTCTAGTGAATGGTGGTATCTGCACTTAGAGCTAAATCCAGTGCCCATTGCTTAACAAACTAAGGAGTTATGCACTAGGCTGCTGAACTCATAACTGCTTATAATTCACAGCGTTACCTGCTAAAGCGAGTTTGTAAAATTTCGGCTAACCAGTAGAATAAAAAGTAGGTAAGGAAAAAAACGTTTTAAAAAATCTGTCACATTAGAATAAGGTTTGTGGGGATTTGTTGATTTCAAGGCAGTTTTCATCAAGGATTGACATCATTTAGAAAATAACTGAAAACTGCGAAGACCGGAAGATGTTTCTCCATAGACTTAAATTACATTTCAGTGCTTATGAGTAACTTGTTTTGGAGCCAATTTCTTGAACTTCTCACACAAAACTATAGCATGTTGAGCTGACCAGATCAGGAATAACACTGATGCCTGGTGATCACAGGGGATGAAACTCATAATTTATTATCGATTGAAAGAAGTAGAGAAAATGGACTACTAAATGTTAACTCAATAACTGAATGATATCCAGCTCATCACAGGACCTATCAGTCATCGACTAGATTCCTTGCATGCTTATGAGTGCACACTACTGACTGCCCAACGTTTTACAGTAATTCTGTAACTAATTTGAATCCATGATGAGACACACCTCTATATCCACTTAATATTATTACTCAATTTCGTGTACTAAAGTAATCTTCAGTTAACCTTTGCAATATACTTTCATTTTAGGATGTTGACCTATTAAAAAAATAGTCAGATACAGCTAAGATTTATTTTTCAGACTTCATTCATACAAATATATCTATGGATAAACCAATAACTCACCTTTGGTAAGATATCATTTTACACACTGAACTAATGTTGAATAAATTTGTTGTCTAGGTTACCTTGAGAATCAAAGTGCAGTATCTTATAACAGCAGTGTTATTGATAAGAAGAATATTAATGAACCAATTTCAAGTGATAATATGGATGCAGTCAAGGAGCATATGTGAAAAAAATTCGTGTATATTTAGGGGAGTCTTTCAGGAAAATTTCACTACAGAAAGTAACAGAATTATGTTGTTTTTTGCAATGCTTTATCGAAATATAGAAACAGATTTGGTAAATAAGTCACTTTGAATTCAGAAGGCAAAATTCATCACTTTTTCACAATTTCGTTATGCAGCTACTGATGAGCACTGTATAAAAAGGTGTAGGAAAACATTTTTAAGCAAATGTAAAAGTTGGTTTGACTCTAGACTAAAAATACTTGGTTATTATGATTGGTCATAGCGTTAAATTTATCCCAATATAAAAATATACTTTTAAATATAAAATCTTATTAAACAGGCGAAGTATCTAGAGAGAGTTTAAGTAGATATATGTAGAGCCATATTGATCTTGGCGACCAGCAGAGGAATCCAGGAAGCGCTTTTCATCCTACTCGTCAGCTGGATGTATTCCTGGATTCTTTTGCTAGTCACTAAGATACATATAATGTCATGAATACTCGGCAGTATCAAGACATTTACGTAGAAGCCCATCTGCAGATAGAGATCGAACCATTCAGCCCTGTATATCAACGGGAAATTACAGGTTTTAGTATGTAGAGGCACTTACATGTGCACCAACGAACACATACTGTCATAGTTTAATAGAGGAGTGAATAAATTGATTTATAGGGTTATACCACGTTATCTAAGAGTCAATAAAGAAAACTAATTTAATCAATCCTTTCAGCCTGCATATAGGGTTTCGTATAAATTACTGAAAGGTGCCAGATAATTTTTTCTATGCATAGCAGAAGCCATAGGAATCAGTATTAGAAAGGATGATGTATGCATTTGCAAGAAATATGTACAATAACTTTGCTTACCATATGCTACTTTAAGGTGCAAGCCATTTTGATGAGCAATGAGAGTTTATATACATATTTCAATTCCCTGTGGATCTTTTTCCGAGTTATAAAAAATTCCTTTATTTTATACCTTTTACTTCGACAGTTACTCTCATCGTCATACATGACTCCTCAAAACTTTTTCCTTGAATATCCAGACGATTTTTGCTCACTAGCGACATTTTCTGATTGAATAGACAAATAAGTAAAGTCTCTAAATAATATCTTTTTTGTCTAATATTGTCGTATTCAGAGTACAACGATGTGCAAACTGACTACTGTTCCACTCTAAAATTTAATTCTAACCTATCTCGTTCATACAAAGTACTGTTTATTCATAGTGTGGGACTCCTTCTCAGCGTGCGCCCATAACTCCACCAACGATGGAACACAGGTCCTTCAGTTTTCGCTTTTGACTACTCCACTAACCAGTCACTGGGTTGTATTCAGAAAATCGACTGTTGTCCTGGTTAATGTACTATACATTCATAGTTTTTTTGCAATCGAGTTATTGTTTGCTGAAATGTTTCTTGTTTTAAATATTTGGAAGCTTTTAGATTACTAAGACAACTATCCTGCCAATCTGTATTGAGGCATTAAACAGAAAAATCTAGTTAAAACACCCTCAAACATTCACATGGGTAACTCAGTCCTATTTGGTTTATGCTGATAGAAGAAGTAGAGTTAATTTGGGTCTAATTGGTCACACAGAGACATAGCATGCATATACTAAAATTTTACTTTTCAATGGAACAAAGTTTAACCGAAAGCTAATATCAGTCATCTAAAACGCGTATTTACCTTTGTTGTGTCCGCAATATACGGCTGATCATTTGCATGGATATTTCCAAAGAGATTCGTATTTCTTGTCGTTTCAGGTCTTACCTGATACGTGTGTGGTAAAGTATTTTTTGGTAAATAATTTCTACACTGTTCTCCAGCACCCATGACAGGTTTAGCACATGTTTGAAATGGTTTTAAGGGAACACCATAAGTGGGCAGAAACTGTGTTTGTAAACCTTTTGATGCGAAGCATGGATCATGTGGTTGGAATGAAGTGATCTGAACTGGTGAGGTTTGGAAATAATTGATAGCCTCATTATTAAACGGAATATTACTCAAACAATATGGATTTTCCACAAAACTATCGCTGAAGGGTATTTCTGGATTACAAAGAATCTCTTTTATATCTGTTTCACCGGCTAGCATAGCGCTGTCTACTTCCCGTCGCCAACGGGTGATTGCGCCAAGTTTTTCACGCCATATTTCAGCATTGATTGCATCTTCTTTTTGATGATCAACTGAATCGCTTCCCTCATCATAATTCTGATAATTTACAGTATCTGTCGGTTTATTAGTGTAAATACCGTCAGGGGATATTTTTACGTTCTTCAAAGTATTCTGACGAGTTAAACAGTTTTTATTGTCCCCAAAAAATATTTGATTCCCAAATTTATTGCATCCTTTACCAGAAACTGCAGCTAACACATGCTCTTCATAACGTCTTGCTGCAGGAGACAGTGACATTATTTCTGGTTTACAGTTAACTTTCTTAACTCTATGGTCATCAATAACATCCACATGCTCATCACTGTTGTCATCATAATTCTTGCCAAGTTTATTTTGACACAATAGGACGTTATTTGTGCATATTTTTGGTACACGACAGAAACTACTTGGAGAGGGCAATAATTGTTTATTTAAAAATATTTCCTTGTTCAGACGGGTCCTTGATTTGCAATTGTCTTTCTTGGTTGCAGAATGCTTGTCATCTCTAAACACTTGAGCTGAATCATTCCGAATTATATTTGAAGACAATGAAGTGTTAATCGAAATAGGTGAAATGAAGGAAGATAAAAATTTAGAATCATTTTCCGTACTATTCAGACGTGTATGAAGTAGTTCTTGGTGTGTAGTTAATTTCACACCAGATGTTATGTGACTGACCACTTTATGAAACGATTCTGATCTGTCAATACCAGCTGATTGTGAACGGATTCTTGGGTGAATTAGTGTAGGATTATAATCCGCTGAATGCGACCTTACATATGTTAAAGGTTTATCTATTGGTGATGTTAAATGATCAATTTGTGTGTCATTTTCATGAATCGTTTTATTCATTCTTCTGAATAATCTGTCTTTTTCAACATACATCCTCTGCCAATGAGCGTGTTTGTTTAAAGGGAAGTCTGTCTGTTTATTTTCAGTAGACATGTACAGACAGTTGCTTTCTTCTAATATCGTGTCTTTATCATTATCATATTCTTCCTCATATTTATGGTCAAAATCTTCTGACGAGTCAGAGGAAGACAAACTGGTTTGTCTACCGTTAGTTTTAAGTTTTGGGAATCTAATGCGGTGACGCTTCAGGGTCACGGACAAAGGACGTGCAATTCTATAACAGTCTTCTGAAATATTTTTTGCATTACAGTTACTGTATTGTATATCACTTGTACACAAACGTTTATTAAATTCATTCTCAACTGACACGAATTCTTTTTTTTCAAGAACAGTTTGTTTATCTGTAGTATTTATGTTCTGTTTTATATCATGATCCTTGGTTGTTGTTGTATTTTCAGTAAGTGTAAGTGTGGAGCTCGATGTTTTACCATTTGTCATGTCTAAATCACATGATTCATGTGTAGCATAGGTGGATTCGTCAGTTTGCTGTTTTTGATCATCTAGTTCGTTGTCATAAATCAAACGTATGAATGATGGTGAGTAACCTTTGCCTATATATTTTGATTTCATGGAATTATCATTTCGAATTTCGTTTTGAGAAATATGTGATCTGGTTGCAGGTGAAACGGTCCTAGGTGAATCACTGGCCGAATAAACTGGACTGACAGGCGTTGATATGCATTTAAATCGTCGAGTTTTAAGGTGATCCTTGTAGGAGTTGTTATACTGCTTTTCTACATTGGTTATTTCCACTTCATTATTTATGTTGGGATCACTATCATAAACACGATATGCACAGTCGACACTGTTGGATCTGAAAAATTGTCCTACTTCATGTTTTGTTTCCACAGTGACCGATCGCGTGATTCGATCATCTTTAGTTATTTTATTTTTTGCTATTCGTGGAGGTTTGGGGATGAAATAATTTTCCCAGTTGAGTTTCGCTATCGCAACTCTACCTAAATTTTGTGTCTCATTATGTCTGTGACAAGCGGTATCATTACCTTCTTTGTCTGTCTGAGGGTGTCGAGGAGATGTAGATTTTTGTGTATATACTAGAGAAGGGCGTTCACCTGCTATTGTTATTCTCCTTCTTATCATGTGAGACTTTTCATTAGATGCCCCATCACTTAGCTCGTTCCCTTCCGTGACCTCATTATTTCTGAAATGAAGTTTTGGTCGATCCTGATTAGACCTGTCATCATTCAAACAAGAAATTAGGCATTTTCTGTCATTCACATTTATTAGTCTTTCATTCGGTACAATTTCTGTGGAATCCCCCTGCATCTGATGCTTAGAAAGAGATTTTTCATAGCTTTCTCTCAGAACACTTTGGCACTTCACAAGTGCTGTCAGGAGACTTTCTTCACTATAATGTGAAGAACTTGACTTACAAGTATCGTCTCGAATTTTACTGGATGGATCGTTATCTGTTGAAAAGTTTACATTGGCTACGAAAAGATTATCGAATTCGGAGTGAGATATACTTTCCGCTGTAACTGACTGTGGTGGACTATTGGATAATAACTCAGGAGATAATAAACTCAGTGAATTTTCATTTGCCTTTTCACTGTGTTTCTCACCAACTCTATCATTGTTTTTTCGACTCACTTTTCTATTGTTATTACTACTTTTCGGGTCGTAGCATGTGTGAGACGTAGCAGGTGCAGATGTTCTTCTTAACTGCGCTTTAATTGGAATAAGATCTGGTGCAGGATAGGGAGGCGTCGGTAATGAGGGAGGAAAGAATTTCATTTGCCACTGACTTGATGAAGTAGCTGCAGACGTAGAAAATCGCTGAAAAAAAGTAACATTTATTTAATAAGTGTGTTCTTCAACAATTTTATTTTCTAAGTAGACCAACAAAAATATATGCAGACCATATGACTTCATTCTAAGCAAACCAAACGAATACGCACATGCAAATCAGAGTGAGTCAAACTAAGACGAATTTTAGTGTTTTCTTAGCTTCACAAATAAAATCCTTATTAAGAATATTCATACCATAGAATAACCTGTTTTGACTTACCGTTTATTTGTTTATGTTGATTATAAGGCGATATACCACTCAAACGTAATATCAACAGATGTATTGGTCAAGAATATGCAAATGTGAATACGATAGTCATTTGAAAATGAAAAATGAAAGCTTTCAGTGGCTTATAAGGTAATATTGTGTTGATGAACTGTTTTCTTAACGTCTATACATGCAGTCTTGATACTTTTATTTCGTCTAGGTCGAATTCTTGAGATTTAATTACTTCTCTATGATATAATTAACTAAATCATCTTTTACAGTACTCTGTTGAAAAAAAGAATCAAAGAAACAATGGTTTGTACTTTATTTTCTGATTGTTAGGTGTTTCATCCGCCTAAATTTAACACACAATATCGGTTTCATATCCGAAAAAACAAAAGACCTGGTAGTAATAGATTCAGAGAATAGTCGTAACTTTGTGCTTTTTAACCATCGAAATAGTCGTATTAGATCATACAGATTTGACAAAAGGCTATTCAGCGAGGAAAAATATTTTTTTAGATGAATTATTTACCAAAGCTGAACAATGGTATTTATAGTTACAACAAAAATAAACATTCATGAGCAGCTAATGGGTCAATACAAGGTTAATACAAGTCAACTAAATGCACCAAAGAAACTGAAAACAACTCAGAATTCCACTTTCTGGACGTCCTACTGAAAAGAAGACATGATAGTTTACTAAAGAGATCAACTTACAGGAAGTAAACCAGTATACCAGTTTTCAAGCCTGGACATGATAGATTCATTGTGCCAAAGAATTCGAAGAATTTGTACAGATTATGCAGCAAATGAGGAGCTAGAAACTCTTCGAAATATGTTCCTCGGGAATGATTTTTCCTCAGGATTCATTGAGAGGAACATAAAGCTTAAGCATTTTTAGGAAGTGACGCCTAAGGTACCAAAGAAAGTACTGGTTATGAGTACTGGATTCAACGGTGATACATTGGCAGAGATACTCATGAATCACTTGTGTGAAGCACTAAGTAAAACCTTTCATTCGGAAATCCGAATTGTTTTCTCCAGTCAAAAATTGATTCGGAGGTGCGTAAAGGACAAAGTAGCTCTTCGGATCACCTCCATCCGTGTCTACTAATTCACTTGCTCTTGTGTAGACGGTTACACAGGTCACACAAAGCGTGTTATGTCCAAACGCATCTCCTAGCACTTTTCGGCATGGTTGTCTACAGGAAGGTGCAGTGTAATCAACAGCTCGATTCCTGAGCATCTGGTTATCTTTGGCCACCCTAGTTCACCAGAATCATCCTTGAAAGTCATTTATAAAGTCGAATAAAAGATTTTGAGATGAGCGTTGATCTAACACCTAAACTTATCAGAAGCTTTGAAAATTCATGGGACCAAGTCTGATCCTGCACTTAAAAGAAGTTCGTAAAATCCCTAGTTTCACGTTATTCATAATCTCCCGAAGACTACTTATTTATTTACTGTTTGGTTATTTATCCATGTTGTCACAATTGTTACTTCCACCCCGTTTCCTAACTGTGTAATTCTGGACTTAAGTAGGGCTGTACTACTTTTCTTACATATACTGTCACTTTATAGGTTATTGTGCAGACACTTTTTTATTTTTTTTTTTTACCGTATAAACAGTTATAGGTAACCTTGTGGTGACCTTCTGGTCAGAATCACCGCGTAACTCTGGCAATAGATTTTGGCGACCTTATTTTGACCTGTAAGCCATTGACAGGCATATATTTTTATTGTAACGATAGAGACGAATGTACACCTTCTGAAAATGATTTGTTGAAGAGAAAACTTTAATTCGATGAATAATCATTTTCAATTAAAATTGTTTAATGTAAACAATTTGGTTAAAAATTATTAATCCTACCCTTTGAAAATGAAATTGTTAATTAACATCTAGTCAAATAGGTGCCCATACTTTTCTGTTATACTACTAAATACATCAAATAGGATATATTGAAGAAATATATATATATATATATATATATATATATATATATATATATATATATATAACTTCTGAAGACAAATGAGTTTGATCACTGTTATTAGAGCGTGATGCGAAGTAAAGTTTTCCTGGAAGTTAAGATTGTTTCAAATTACTAGTTTTTTTATTAAATCTAAATCTTAAAAGTTTCAAACTGAAATTTTAGCAACTCTAATCATTTCTATCAAGTCTAAGGACGAGCGAGATTCAAGCGATACCAATCAGTTTAGCTTTTGGTTAAAAGTGATTCACTGTTGTAAGAGGGTCTAACTGGCCATAAAGATTTTAACTTACCAAAAATTACCTATGGAGAAAGTAATTTACCTATAAATATTAAAATCAAGCAATATATTAATTAGAAAGTAAATACAGGGTTGATTACTTAAGAGTAGGCAGTGGATTTCTATGTGAAATTTCAGTATATTTACTAAAACAGCTGAGTGCTATTTTTAGCTTTACCCGCCATTTCTTTTTCTAAATATCACAAGAAGACAACAATAATGTCAAAGTTTCAGGTATCGTATCAAATTAAAACAACACTAACATTAATCAAAACAAACATTTCGTAGGGAATGGCAGTAAAGTACATGTCGAAGTAGTACGAAGTTGGTCAGATTTATTGACATTTGAATCAGACTGGTTAGTGAAGATGATTTGATTTGACTGACTGTATTACGAACAAAAATATTAAACTCTACCAAACTGAGCCTTAACTATTAGGTAATTTGAAATTAAAGTGGGATAGCGATAATAATAGATTTCGATTAAACTCGTTCATATGGGTATATAGATCCATTTTCAAATTATTTAAGCATTATACGGTCTGTTATTTGTTTTTCCCAAAGTTGAGCAATTTATCTCTAACTCCTTAGGTATTGTGTTATTCCAGCTTCTTTCAGACATCACTCAGCCAATATCATTAAGTGTGATATACGATACAACAGTCTCACAAACTTACGACAAATATTACAGGACAAAATCAATAGTTAGAAACCACTCATGCCGATTTTTAGATTTGGCTGACAAGGTATCAGTCAGTCTTAGATGACTTACATGTTTGTTTTGATATTGTAGGCGGATATGGTAGAAAGGGGAGGCAAAATTCAGACATTCCTCCAAAATAAGTCATCAAACTCTTCTGTATGTTCACAAAGTTTACTTATGATCCTATAAGAACTTTTAAGTCTAGCGAACTATGAAGATGAGCTAACGTTACTTCTAAGTAAGTAAACCACGACACATACTTTACTATTTTAACACCTTTTTACTTTGAGAATTCAAAACTCTCAAGTATTTTAAGCTTGGCTTATCACACTTCAAATTGTGCACTCATTATGAGAGATTCAGTGTTCGTTTCGAAAGCTACTGTATGCCAGTATTTCGAGAAGTACATTGTACCGCCTAGTATAAATTTGAAACTTATGTGACACGTAAGCATGCACCTCAGAAATGTAAGCAACATATTCCTTTCAGCCGATTACTAATGCCCAAACACAAACAAGAAATGATTGACTGGTTTATTTCAGTAGTTTATCAAAAGGAAAAAAACACTCTGCATAACGGATAACAAGCGTTACAGCCTTGATTCTGAGCGAAGAGTGAATGCCAATTTTAGGTGCAGGAGGACGGCACATTTGCTTTTGACCATACAACGTGAAGCTAAGGAAAGATATGCATTTTCAAAACGTAAATTTTAGTTACGAACTCCTTACATCCTAAAGCACTATTATCTCAGCTCGATTTGAATGTGTATTATCAGCCATTTTGTCTCAGAATGGAAGGTCATTTGTGTTTAGGAAACAGACCCTTATTTTGTTCCGGGTTGATGTGAGGAAAGCTGTAAGATTTATAGCTTTAAGTCATGAAATATAAAAGTTAAAAGTGCTTTCCAGAATGAAACAGCAGCTATAACCTAATGAAAACTAACTGCTGTCTATCATTTTACAAAGCGCAAAATACTATCGACATAAAATACTATTCGATTATTTTCATAATAATATGATGTATATTCCCAATGTATTTCGCAGTAGGATTCTGAATATTAGGAACTTAAGTACTAATAATTTCGAACGAATCTTAAAATTTGTTGGAAAGCTTTCTCACACTACTGTGGTGTCATCCAGTAGTTTATGTATTAAAAGTGAATTTAAGGGATGAATTATTATTCATTGTAGCAATTAACTGCTTTATTCAACTAATTAAAAAGGAAAAATACCTGCAGAGTTATAAAAATACCTCTCACAGCATAATAAAATTGTCATTTTTTAATATTTCCAAAGGTAGGGATGAAAACAATTATCGTTGAGTCAAACAGTGAGACCAAAGTATGCAGTTTTAAAGACAGGTTTCACTTTGCTCAGTTTCAAAGCTGTTACTCACCAACAGAGAGAAAATCGAGAAGAAATTCACGGTAGAGGATATTCAGCATGAAACTTGAGTAGACTTACATCCTTATATACGTTGAAAGTTGTCGTCACTAACGTCATAAATGATTGTCGAAACTATCATCTTGAGTCTTGGCTGCAGACCGAACAAGAAGAAGTTCGGAGACTAGTGAAGCAGATTTAAAGTCAGAATAGATATACATAAGACTATCTCCTAGTGCAGTTGTTCCTTTCTGGAACTCAAAAGATCTAAAATGTACAAACCAGATATGATTTCTCACTAAAAGTATCATCCAAACTTTCAGGAACCCTTATGGGATATGAGTTAATCGTTGTGGGTATGAGTCTATCACTATTTACTGTTGTAGTCACCGATCAGCATGGTCGTAGAAAACTCTGGATG